GCTGCCAGAGCTTCAGGCCGCATCTGTGCTTCATCTCGGTTTATTTTGTGCATCTGTTAATAAGATGTGTCCTAGAGTAGCAGCAGAAAAATCTAAGAACTTGTCAGGGTGTTAACGCTTTGCATAAAACCGAACATAATTAGATGTTTTGATCATGGTGAACGAAATAAAAACGTGCGGACATTGAATTTTGGGTCTGGGAACACTCAAATTTTTACATACTAATGGTAACTGCTTTATGCCATTTCGTTTTATGACGTTTCATAGGAACGCCCTAATTTCAGATAGTGGGGGAAACCTGCTCTTCGAAGCTGTGTAAGTTACTTTAGTGGAGAATTTATGGAATGGTAAATTTTAAAGTAAAGGAGACCTTATGTTTGTTTTTTTAAATTTGCACATACACAGAGAGTGGGTAAATACAAGACATGCGGAAGTTACTGCTGGATAATGGAATTAAGTGTGATTTGATTTGTTTAAATATATTGACTATTTCAGAATGTGGGGCAAAGGGTGAGAAGTTGCTTTTTTTGAGTCAAATCTGACACTTTTTTATTCTTAGACTCATTAAATTATTCTTTCCAGTTTGCTCCTATAAACCGTAATTTTCATTTAGAAAGAGAAAACGAAGGGAGACGGTGCACCCACAGGCTCTGGGCGAGTCAGAAAGCCGAGGGCCCGCAGCGGACTCGCGGGGCGGCGTGCGGTCCGCTCTGCCCCCGCTTCACTGCACTGGTGTCACTGACATACCTTCTTCCTTCCCTCTAAATATCGTCCTTTTGTAAAGTCTCCAAATCCAGTTAGCACCCGGGTGACTGTGAAGTGTGTGTTATTTTCATGTGGTGTTGGCGTGTGTTTGTACTGAGTCAGGCCTGTGTTTCTCCCTCCCTCACAGGCTGTTGATTACTATTTGAAAGCGCTGCGGTCACTGGGAACACGAGATATACACCCCGCCGTTTGGGATTCAGTGAACTGGGAGTTGTCCACCACTTACTTCACCATGGCAACGCTGCAGCAAGATTACGCTCCATTGTCCAGGAAAGCCCAGGAGCAGGTAACAGTGGGCGGAGTTATAAAGAAGCCGTTAGCCTTATGTGTCCCCTGACATACTGAGTACCTCCTCCTCGACAAGCAGGGTTTAAATGCTTTTAAACTTCTTACATAAGGCTATAGGCTTGTCTTTTTTTTTCCTTCCCCTTAACAAAAAATAAACAGATCGAAAAAGAAGTCAGTGAGGCTATGATGAAGTCCCTGAAGTACTGCGATGTGGACTCGGTGTCTGCCCGACAGCCTCTCTGTCAGTACCGAGCCGCAACCATCCATCACCGGCTGGCATCCATGTACCACAGCTGTCTGAGGAACCAGGTACGCCATTCCGGTTCAAGTGTGCTGCCAAGTCCATTTACACGTGTTCTGGCCGCTTTTCTTACATTTCAATGTACATTTTAAGTGCCATCTATTCTGTTAGCTACTTTAGAAAAACTTGGGCGTGTAGGTATTTTTCCCCCCTTGCCTATGTCATGTATTTTTCCCTACTATAATTGGGTCAAAATTACATATTTGCTCGCATGTATTATTTTGATCTTTTAAAATATAGCTAGGCTTTATAGGAATGGTTTTGTGCAAATTTTTGAGGTATATACCTCTCATCAGTTAAAATCTTTATTGTGAAGTAGAACATACGTATAAAAGCGCATAGAAAATGTATGTGAAGCATATGTGCAGTTTGAAAGACAGTAAACGGAAACCCTGTGTACCTTGCCCTTCAGTGTGTTGACATTTTGCCTGGTTGTGGCCTTTACAGAATGAGTCATCTGTACGTGTTATTCTGTGGCTTATTGCTTTTCATGCACTGTCATATTTTTGAGATTCTTCCAGGTTAGTGCAGGTAGCTGTTCATTTCCTCATTTCAGTTGTATTCATTGAATGACTAAATCACAATTCGTTTATCCATTCTATGATTAGTGAACTTTGGGGTTGCTTCAGTTTGAGGCTGTTAGAAGTAATGTACTGTGAATATACATGAATATACATGAATCCTGGTACTGAAATGCATGTATTTCTAAGACTAATTCGAGGCCTGGGTCGAAGCTGTCTTCGTTCAGAGTCTTCCTTCAGCTTCTCAGAGATGGTTTTTGTTGCGTGCCGTTTCCCCTTAGCTCAGTGTCAAGACAACTAATCTCGCGGTCCCTTGGGGCATGGGTTTACCTCTGGATTGCCCTTATTCTTTGAGGTCTGGTTTCATCAGGGAGGACGTTTATCCACTTTGTGCTGGCCCTAGACTCCTCCCTTGCTCACAGGAGGCCCCCCAACCAAAATTCAGGTTTGCCCAGGTGGCCTCATGTCCTCAAGGCAAAAGCAAGCTTAAGAGTTCCCAGGCAGTTCAATAGGGGAAGAATTGTCCTTTCAGCAAGTAGTGCTGGGACAGCTGGACATCCACATGCAGAAGGGAGTTGGGCTCCTACCTCACATCATATGCCGAATTAACTGAAAATGGGTTAGCGATCTAAATGTAAAAGCTAAAACGATCAGACGTATAGAAAAACAACACTGAAAAGCATTTAGCGGTCCAGGAAGAGGTGATGAACGCATTATTGCAAGACCCGAGCCTCAGGGTGTTTTCTGTTTCACCTTTGGTTCTAGGTCGGTGACGAGCATCTCCGGAAGCAGCACCGGGTGCTGGCCGACCTTCATTACAGCAAAGCCGTGAAGCTCTTCCAGCTGCTGAAGGACGCGCCCTGCGAACTGCTGCGAGTACAGTTAGAAAGAGTCGCGTTCGCAGAGTTTCAGATGACCAGTAAGTCTCGCCTTTTCGTTTCTCAGATTCGTGTGCATTGGCTTAGCGTAGATTGTCCCAGAGTGAGACAGACCTCTGGTCTCTCTCGGATACATGTAATATTGCTTACTTTTTCATTTGCCCATAGTGACTTTGGGTAGGGACCAGAGCAATCTCTACAGTTTCGGAAGTGCTTTTCAAAACTTAGAGAAATGGTTTAGATTATGCTCGGTGACTAGAAATATTGAAATATAGCCCACGATTCTCTTTGACAAGTCCTTTACACAAAGAGTTAAGCCATCGGGGACAACATAGGGGATAGTGGTAAAGGAGGGCAGTCCAGTGAACCCTCATGAGCCGCAGCCGGTACTGGCAGCTGTGGATGATGGTTCTAGAACAGGCAGGTCCTGAACAAGGTAACTGGAGGGCAGGGCACAGAAGGGAAGCGAGACGCAGTGAGGCTGCTTATTGAGTTGTGTCCGCGGTGGGGAGGGGCTGGTTCACCTGCTCTCCTCCCGCGGAGGGGTCTTTTGAGAAATGCCTCTGCTGTGGAAGGAACAAGGAACAGTTATTCGAAGTACTGCGTTCATTTGCTTTCCTTTCAGTCGTTTTCTTCTGTAAAATTAACATACGTGATACTTAACATATAGATGACTCCATTTGTGCAGCCTCCCTGGAAGGGTGCAGGAGAGCCTGATAATGACGTTGCCGCCTCTGCGGAGGGGCCTGGAGGGCGGGAGGGAGGCCTTCACCGTGCACGACTCGGCCCTCCTACGATGTGAGAAGGTGTTTCCTGTTCAGAACGGTTTTTAAAACTACTTTTTACCAGTTTTTAAAACTACTTTTATTCTGTGCTGTTAACCTCTTGCCAGCACAGAATGCCTGGCTGGGGGTGTGGGGTGATCATCCGGGGTGAACGGTTGGGTGCTCTTTCTGGGGTGCTTTTTCTTCCTGTCCATCTTTGAATTTTCTGCCATGTTTGAATTCCTGGAATGAGCAGGAATCATTTATCTAAAGAAGAATAGAGAGATACTGGGAACAAATTTGCTAAGATGATATGTATGGTTAGTTCTTTTAAAAGAATGTTTAATGCTGTATCTGAGAAAAATAATGTAAATGTTTGGGGGATTTTGTTAGCCAGATTTGTGGGTTTTATAAGCCAGGTTGATAAATGCTCTAGTTTACACCTTTTATTCTACCTCGTTTTACCTAGTCTTTTTTTCTGTAGTACATAAGACTCAAATTTCCTGCTGTCTGTCTTATCTGTGCCCTGTCCCCAGTAGCATTTCCATTCATAATCAACAGCTTGCCTTCCAGGTGCCAGGATCTACACTGAATCGTATTTATCTATTGATTTTTAAGACAATGGGTGGCTTACACTGTAAAGGAAGAAGGCAACAACATTCCCCCCGCCATCTGAAGAGTTGAGGCGTCCCCAAGACCACTTCTCACACGAGTACAGGCCTAGGGGTCCCAGAAATCACCCTCAGGTGTGACAGTTCACCGGCAGGGCTCGGAACTGTCTGAAGGGTGTTATACTTGGGGTTACTGTGTGTGACGGGAAGAACAGGACCAGCCACGGGAGGAGGCACATGGGGCAGAGTGCCGAGAGCTCCCGGCACGAAGCTTCTCGAGCAGCTTCTGGCCATCCTCTGCCCACGGAGTCAGACAGTGCTCAACGCTGCAGCGACGTTCAGTCACAGTGTGCACAGAGCATGTCCTCCGGGGAGCTCACCCAGGCCTGGGTGTCCAGAGATTTTACTGGGATGCCCACAGATGGGGTTGGCTGCCGCGTGGCCGACCTTTGTCTCCAGCTGCTCTGGGGGTCATGGGCCCAAAGCCCCCACAGTGAACCAGTCATTAAGCTGTCCTGTGTGGTCCAGGCGCCTCCAGGTCACCAAAGACCCCCAGCAGACAGGGTGTTCCGAGGGCTTAGAATCGCCTCTGGGAGCTGAGGGCAAAGGCCAGCCCAGCTTTGTGTGCACAGGGTCAGCCCGCTGCTACGCCTCAGCGCGCACAACCAGGCGGGAGCTCCTGGAGAGCAGGGCAGAGGCGCTTCGGGCTCGAGAGCTGCAGAAAAGTCTGTTTGGGTCTCAGAATAAAGGAAACCGGCTCAGCTGGTCTGACTGCTTTGAATAGCAGGTGGACACGGGTGTCTTACAGGTACTTCGGACCCGACCAGCCTTGTGTGGCTGGTAAATAGCGCGGTGGCCTTCACACCGCAGGTTCCTCCCGGCTGGTCCCCTTGAACCTGACACTCCCACACTGGCTCTTATCCAGACAGGTTGTGCTCTCATGCTGGCAGAACCAAATCAGGAGGCAGGGAAACGATGATCATATTTTTCTCTAGGGATAATTACTGAACAAAAGTTGGATTTAGAAGATTTGTTGGGATTCTCATAAGCTAACTTTACAGCGTTTGAAAATTGGAATTTTCATTGATACGCTGAGACATTGGATGGGTTTGTAGATTTACCTGTAAAGGAACGATCATTTTGTGTTTAACACTCTAGGTCAGAATAGCAACGTTGGAAAATTAAAAACACTGTCTGGGGCCCTGGATATAATGGTGAGAACTAAGCACGCGTTCCAGCTCATCGGAAGGGAGCTCGTGGGGGAGCTGGGCCAGGTAGGTGGAGAAAACGGCTGTCTCTGTTCTTACGTGTCTTATGCCAACTGCTGGACGTGTAAGTGGGCACTTGGGGTACACGCGTGTACGAGTTGTGTGTATACAGACATACACACGTGTATCTGCTTTGCATAAAAACATTAACAGCGGTTTATTATATTTTCTCGATAGAGTCATTATTAACTGGAATTTGCAAGTATATCTTTTATATTTAAATTTTTTTTCTTTAGATAACCACATAGTGCTTGGTTAGTAAGGCCCTGAGAGTATAAAGTATCTGTTGAGTTTAGCTTTTCTGCGGGTTTCTTTTTGTTTAGTTTTTTTAAGAGAAAAGGCCCATGCCCTCCCTCATGCTTTCTACTAAACTGCCGGGGAGCAGGGGGACGGGGAGCGGGCTGCGCAGGTTCCTGGGCCTTTCGAGTTGGCCGGCATCCCAGCGTTCATGCTGCCTCTGCCGTTGCTCAGCGCTGCCCGAGTCCCCACGCACACGAGCCTGCGACCTTTCTCCCCGGCTGGTCACCCTGTAACACACCCGTTTCCGTCTGGCTCCTCCAGCCTCTGATGTTGGGAAGTTAGGAGATCTTCGTGAAGCATTAATTTCCTCTTTGCAAGGGCCTATTAAGTGTGAGACATTCTGTCGTGTACTTCAGTATATTAAATGGTGTCAGGGGAGGAAGGAGGAGGCAGAGGCATCCTGGTCACATCAACCACTACTGCTGATAGGGCTGTCCCTTAAAACAAGTGATCTTGGGTTTGCTGGCTGTCATCTTGGTTGAAAGCTTATTGGATGAATGAAACTCAGTTCCATCGCTTCCGTATGAACTACAGCTCTCGGGTAACGTAGATGAAATAACTCCTTGTTGCTTGTAGCCGAAGAGTGAGGAGGCCCCTCCGGCTGCCGATCCCTCTCCCAGTCTGAATCGAGAAGAGGTGATCAAACTCCTCAGTATATTTGAATCCCGGCTGTCGTTCCTCCTCCTTCAGTCCATCAAACTGCTGTCTTCGACTAAGAAGAAAACCAGGTAAATCAAACTGCGGGAATTTCTTTCCCAGCACCTGTGTGTGGAAGGCGCACACACAGCCCGGCCTGGCCCTGTGCGAGGGTAACCTGCAGTCTTTCCTGCCGTTTTTGTGGGTAATCCAGGATTTTCGGCTGCACTCTGCCCGGACCAGCTCAGTTAGGGGAGCCTCTCCAGGCAGCCTGCAGCATGTCGAAATTGTAGACACTAAGCAGCTTTGCATCCTAAGAGTAACTGTTACCCTGTCAGCTGTAATTGTTCCTCTGTGACCAAAGGAGAGCCTTCGTGTGGGGCGGAGCACTCACTGGTAGGTGCCCGGCTGTCTCACTCGGCCTCCTCAGTCCTTGGCGTCTGCTGTGCCCTCTCACTGGTGCTGGCAGGACGCGTTGAGGTGTGAGCAGATGCACCCATGTCCTGAGGAGCTAAAAGGCAAAAAAGCAAAGTTGAAAAACTCACGGCTTTTCCTTTTAACAGCAGTGCATAATTTTTTAAATTTTTACTGGTTTCCACAAACGTGAATTCATGATATGCAAGAAACACAGCGATCCATTGATTTTCACACACCGATGGTTTGAGTAATTGGCTAGTAGGTAAATAGTTTAGCCTTACAATATCTTTTATAATCATAACAGTCATATAGTATGACCTAGGTCATTTTTATTTTAGTGGAGGGTCTTCTGTTATTCAGGTTGTTAGTATTCTGTTGAAAAAAATTTTAAAGTTTTCGTGAATGATGCATAAAGTCCTATTAAGCTAAATTTCAGAGTTTAAGTAAAAGATTATTAAATGTGATACTTGAGTTAATATAGTTAATATGATGACAGGTTTCAAAACAGAAATACCGGTTTCTAAGTCATTTGCCATTGGCTCATGTTTCGCTGATGTGTTTGTGAAAACGTCTCTAATGGTGCTGGGCAGAGGGGACATCTGTGCTGCAGGCCGTTATTTCCCCATGAATTGATGGACTCTTTTTGGAATAAAGGGAAAACAAAAGTAGAATTAGAAAGGAAATAGTAGTACGATTCTGTTTCGTTTTGACTGTTTCTCCCCACTCCCACCCCTGGGCAAAAAAAGTAGAATAAATTAATCTGAGTAATTACGATGTTATCTTAATTTTCTTAGAATCCATAAGAACTGTGCAATCTAAGAAAATTAAGATGCATTTGATTTAAAACTTTTTTTTTCCGTTTGAGATTTTGCAGGCACTTCCTCTCATGACAGCTGCATTGGTGCTGTCCTGCTTTAAATGGTTATGTCTTTTCTTTTTGGGTTTAGAATTTATTTGCTCTTATACTGTATTTTAATATTTATTGCTTTAACAGATTGGAGCCTCTTGACCTTTTGATGGCTTTGGGGTTAAATATAATGAAAAACTATTAAAATTAGAAGTAGTCTCGCAGGGTTTGGGATGTCCGCGACCATAATGCTCAGAGCAGATCCTTTAGGACTGTGGTCCTCAACCTTTCTGGCACCAGGGACTGGTGCTCCTATGAGACTAACTCCTGATGATCTGAGGTGGAGCTGAGGGGATGCTGTCGCTGGGGAGTGGCTGTGAATACAGATGAAGCTTCGCTCGCCTGCCGCTCATGCCCTGCTGTGCCGCCTGGTTCCTAACGGGCCATGGATCAGTACTGGTCTGTGGCCCAGGGGCTGGCGACCCCTACTTTAGGTCTGTGGGCTGTTCCTGGCCAGATATGTACATTTAATATTTGGTTAAGATTAGTGAAAAGGAAAATAAAAGAATGTAAGTCAGTTGCCTTTGGAGAAAAGACGACCGTATGAAATGACGGGACCCTTCTGAACAGACTTCATGGTCCAGTGAAGGGATTGATGAGCGTGGATTAAGGGAGGGAATGTTGTATAGAAATGAAAAGATGATTTAAGATTTAGAATTATGATCAGAACAAATCAAAGAGTTTTAAATTTATGATCCCAGAAGCCGTCAGTCACCTTCAGGCTTTTAGCTAAAATGGATGTCATTGTCCATACAGAAGGAGCCGTAACTTCCCACATTGGGTGCTATTGCCTTGATCACTGTTAGGAGTTCAAATATTTTATAAGATTATCTGAGGTTTCATGAATGTTAACCTCTCCCTGCCAAAAAGAACCCCTGAAACACAGCCATCGTAGGCCCAGACTGCAGACAGTGAGTAAAAGTGAACTGTCACTTTTACTGTGCCATGGGCGGTGCTGGGGGAAGGAGATGGGGAGCTTTGCCTGATAAAAGAAGTAGGAATAAGGGTGAGGAGAGCAGTGGGCCCCTAACGAGCGCATGAGCGCAGCCCACGTTGGTTCCAGCCTGGGCCTGTGTCAGGCCAGCCGCGGGATGGCAGGGGGTCCTGTTGGAGAGGATGGGAGGGGCCGGGAAGGGGGAGGAGGTCTGTTTTTACAGCCTGAGCCTTGACGTGGGCCAGAGGGAGGTGCCAGAGACGGAGTGCTCAGGCAAGGAAGAGAATCGGCACGTTCACGAGTGGGAAGAACGTGACTTTGGAAGTCAGGAAATGACGTTTGGACCTAGATCCAAATTAACCCTTCCAGGCCTTATTTTTCACAGCAATAAAAGAAGAATACTGGTCCTTGCCTTCGAGGGGACAGGGCTGTCATGTGGCTCAGATGGACATGCCCACTCTCAGGAGCCACGCGGTTGTGAGCTGTTGTTACCTGGTCGTGTGGCCAGGGATCTGTGATCCATCTGGGCTCATTTTTAAAGGATGTTAGACATGAACTGCTATGCAAATTACTAGTCTTTTTCAGTAGTCACATAAATATAATCCACTGATCTATTTTATGGGAAAATATTTTCAGAACAAACTGCAAACTGCAGTTTCCTTGTAAACAGTGGTTAAGTGGAGTACTGTCTAGAACCCGCCAGCTGGGGGCGCTGTGCACACGGACGTTGCACTGGCCTTTCAGATACTGGAGGTGCAGTCGTTCTGTAAGTCAGGAGTCTGTGCTTCCAGCCCTGGGTGATTCTAGCTCCGGGGAGAGCAGGTCCATGCCGCCCACCCAGGCTGAGGACCGCGGGGCTCGATGTGAGGGTGGAGGGAGCGCCCCGGCCCTCGGCTGCCTCCACTGCGTTTTCTCCGTGGAGTGTGTCACCTGACACTCGGTTAATGCTGTCTTCCCAGACCTCCTTCCCCGACAGAGCGCACACTCCACGGAGGCCGGGACTTTTGGTCTGTTGTGGTCACTGCCAGGAGCAGTTCCCACTCTGTAGTAAGCGCTCAAATATCTGTAAAAAGAATACCTGTAAAAAAAAAAATTGGTTTTGCTGTATTGAAATTGATGTCTCAGATGAGCAGGCGGCATGGGACAGGCCTTCCCTGCGGAAGGCGGTGGCTGGCCTGTCACTGCGTTGTTGCTTCTCTTTCTGGACGGTCGGGGGCACCACTGCTCACGTGACCTCTTGTTCTGTTTCGCTTTCGTTTTTAACCCAGCAATAACGGCGAAGACGACGTAGCCCTCAAAACCAACAAGCAGATTTACTCCCAGCTTTTGAGAGCTACAGCCAACAGAAACACAACTCTGTCTGAAAGGATCGACGTTCTTACCCGTTTGCTGGATCAGCTTGCCCGCGGCAGCGGTGGCCCCGGCCAGTGACTCACGCCAGGGCGGCGTCCGCCCAGATGCTGTCAGTGCCTTCTGCACTCGGGGGCGAGTTTGTCCATTTGGTGCTTCGTTTAATTAAATACGCGGGGATACCCACTTACCGCGGGCACAGCAGCGGAACCGCTGAGCCCTCATTGCCCGTGACAGACACATCACGGTCGAATTCTTTGGCTTCTTCATGGAAAGTGCTAAAAACAGTCAGACTTAAAGCTCCCGGCACTGATTTCTTCGAGAAATACATGGCACCTCAACGTTGACAGACTTGCTGTGATGCAGTTACACTTTTAAATGTTTTTGAAGTATGTTAAGCTGTATGGGTTTAAGCTGTAATTATTTGGGGTAAATGCTCCTTTGGTCAAGGGAACTTTATTCCAGCGACGTGAGTGGCCCAGCGACGTGAGTGGCCCGGTGGGTTCGGGCAGCGGCCTGCACGTGCGCAGGGCTCCCCTCTCGCGGCCCGGGGTGAGCTCGGCCCTTCGTAAGCTGCGGTGCAGGAGTTTTGAAGACGCATCGAGCAGTTCCCTGTATTCAGTGCATGTTCTGAGGGACCTACTTTTCTTTCCCTTGGTGACAGTTGGTGAAGAGTAGGTACTACTCCCGTCTCCCCCCCCACCTCACCCCCGGCCTTTTTTATTTTAAACTTGAAACTGTGAATAAGGTAAAATTATTTTGAATAAATAATTTATTTATTTAAGATGTCTTTGTCTTTTTCCATTTTATATTCCTCACATTGAGTTTTGATGCGGTTAATACATTTTACAAAGTAAAGATTCAAATATTAAAAACAAAATTCTGCCATACACTAAATCCTCCCTGGATTCTATGCATCGCTCGCTGCCGCTCGGTGGCTCCTGTCCGGTGCATGCGGACGCGTTCGGTGCTGTGCTCGTCCCACCGTAGTTACTGATCGCGGTTGCAAGAACAGTAACGCAACACGTCAGGCATCCTCTTCCCTGTCAGGGCGACGGTCTGGGCTGGTGTGCAGGCCGCCTCTGCAGACGAGCTTGCCTGGCACCCCAGCCCTCTGGCCTGGTCCTGAGCGAGGGACGAGGCGCCCGTGACCTCTGTCGGCAACAGCTGCGGTCATTCCCACTGCAGATCCTCCAGCCACGCCTCTGAAGGGATCTGACCTGTGCTAGGAAATGGTCTGGAACAAACCTGTTTTAAGCTCGATTTTTACCAGCTGCTTTCTCGTACACTGAGATTTTCAGGTGTGTCCCTTGTCGGTGAGTTGACATCTGTCATAACTTGGCAGAACTATTTCTTGCCATTTGTCCACTTCCTTGTTTTTTAGTTGCATTGTCCTTAGGACAGACTTGCATCAATTTTCAAATATTAATCGTCGAAACGTTTAAAGGTTTGACTAAATTATAAAGCAGTTGTACAAAGTCAGCAATGTCCCCTATCGGGACTGCTGCCATTCTGCTCCCCCCCCCACCGCCTCCCGCCACAGCAAGCACACCCAGGGTCACACTGTCCTTGCGAGTTAACCTGGACACTTCCCTCGTACACATCTAACTTTGGATTCACGAATTCGAAAAGGGTTTTCTACTGAAGTAGAAACAAGCTGGAGTTGGGGATGAGAGTTGCTTGCTTAGTCTAATCACCTCGCCTTAGCCAAACAGCCTTTCAGTCAAGAGGGAAATTTGTTTTTAAGCACGAAGATAAAAATACTAGCTATCTTCCCTTGTCAAAGCAATAGTATGAAAGTTCCTACAGGGGTTCAAAGGGTATTTTACAAATGTTTTTGTATTTTGCTGATTTTAAATGAAAGCTCCCTAAAGTGCTTCAGTTTTAGCTGTTCCTTTAAGAACTGTTATTTGTACCCCGATCGTCGAGACCACTGAATCTTTTTCAGTTAGTTTCAGTGCCTGTTTTGTGCACCTCGTTCCGGACGACATTGAGAGTTTTTGTGTTAAGAGGTAATGGGACGTGATGCCTGCCCTAGAGAAAACTGATACAGGAAAACTAGTCATCCAGTTACCTTCCAGAGCCTCACCCTCAGAACATAAACAAACTGCCAAATAAAGTGTTTCCTGCTTGGAAGAGGAAGGAGCGCGTTACATGACCTGTGGCAGGCCAGAGGCTGTTCTGTGCAGCGCCACGTGGGGTGCAGGCTGTATTCAAACAAAGCCCTCCAGGAGTGCAGTGAGGGCAAGGGCGCTAGGCTGCAGGGAGGTGAAGGTCAAGGGCGACCACTGCCTTTGACCTTGGACAGGACACAACTAGTGAGCTTCATTCAGCGTCTTTGGCCGGAATGTGCACAGTAGTGTCTGTCCTGCCACTGGGACAGAGTTGTGAAGATCGAGAGAGATGCTTGGAAAGAAAGTCCATGAACACGGTCAAGTGTTACAAAGTATGAATTACTCTTGACGATCTTGGAGTGTAGTTCATTCAAATTCTGCGTCCTTTCCCACTGAATCCTTAAGCTCAGTGCAGTAACACTTTCATGTCCTTGGGGAGAGGTGTCTTCTCTGATGAGAACCCCTGGCTATGGCCATGTTCCTGGCTACCCAGGAAATGGGGGGAGGGGCGGGGGCAGGGGACAGTGTCGGGACCTCGCTACGGAGCCCTGGAGAGAGTGGGAAGCAAAGAGCGATTCCTCGGGACTCATTTTTAACCTTTCCGAAACAATGTGTAAAATGACTTGGGAAATGACTCCCCGAGAAACTGATTTTTGAATCAAAGTTCAGGTAATGCCCTTCCCGCTGGGCTGTAACTTAGGGAGCCCCATCCGCATCTGTTACTAAATCCCAGACTCTTCCTCTTAGGAGCGAAACCCTTGGGCTCTGCATCGGCCTGGTTCCCTCATCACATGTTCAGGGTGGAGGTGTGGACGTCACACACGTCGAACCACGTCCCCGAGATCGGCCGCGGGGGGAGCACGCCGTTGGAAGGGAGCCCAGGGCGCCGGCGTCTGTCCTCGTCACTCACCACTTTCCAGTACTGGTGGCCTTTGAAGAGGAAGACGGCCTTGTGCGCGTAGGAGTAGTAGGCCGCGTCCAGGTGTCTGACGGGGTGGCTCTGCGGCTCTACGGCCGGGAAGACGTCGGTCATCTTCTTCGGGTACGACCCAAGGACTTGATTCCTGTTGACGTCGAATGCGAACACCTGCAGAGCAAGGAAAACAAGACTGGCTTTTCTGGAAATACTGATCTGAGGTTAATTTCTAGTGATGAGGTAAGTCGATCGGCGACTGGGCACCGAATTCTTTGGGCGGGAAATTTTTAATTTTCCGTTGTGAGGGGATGATCTGCCACGTAGGCCTGCGGTGACAGGACAGATTTCACTAAGGACTTGGTCGTCTGACCAGCTTCAATTAGAGGTGACAGAAGCAACAGCAGGCTGCAAAGCCTTCTACTTACGAGGGACCCTTTGAAGAAGTAAATTAGCTGCTTCCTTCGGTCATAGAAGGCAGTGTCCAGGGGGCTTGGGATCCCAGGAAATCCTTCTGAAATCAGTTTGGGGTAGCTTTTTCCTTGTTCGTCTTCGGTGTGGGCCTGATCCTTGTCACTGTCATATCTCCAGTACTGATTTCCTGAGAGCCAAACAAAAAACGTTACCGTGGTTTGTCACTGTAAAATCACAGGCAGCGACAAAGGGGGCAGCCTTCAGCAGAGGCCCCGGCCACCATGACGCTCCGCTGTGATTCCAGAGGAAAGACAGGCTTCCTGCCTCTGGGTGAAGCTTCGGCCCAAGTCAGTGATCTCCCAGATCCAGAGTTACTTCTAGATCTGACCCCGCAACCCCGATGTCAGTTACATTTCGGGACGTCTCCAACCGGGGAAGGAGGTGCTCTCGACTCTGAAACAGCCAGACTGTCGAAGTCCAGCCCGAGGCACGGTCTCCACTGACTGCTCTGAAGGGCTTCCTCCTCTGTGATGTGAAGGGAGGCCGAGGCCAAGTTCATTCACGGGTTTCTAATGCAAACTTCGCATGCGGAGTTCTTCGGTTTGGCTCTTGCCTCACTCGTTTTGAGCCACTGCGAGCAACATGGTTACATTCCCAGGATGCTGGCAGAGACAGTGCCCACAGTTTATCTCGGGACAGCAGGGAGAAGGGAAGCAGTGACTACAACACCGAGTTTGTGATGCTCCTGGGACATAGGCACAGGGGCCCCGGGCGAAGTGGCTGAGTGGGGAGGAAGCAGCGAGAAAGGCCCGAGGCTACCTGTCCTGTGATCACCAAGGCTACTGGGCTCTCTGCCGTTCCTGCCTCCCTGCAAAACCTGCTCCTCCCCGCTCAGAAACTGCCAGGGCATCCTTGCTGCCTCTGCATAAAGTCCCGCCCCGGCCCCTGGCATTCAGGCTCTCCATGTGCGGGCGACATGCTCGTTTCCTCCCAGCTCTAAGGCTGTGAGTTGGACCACCCCCTGTGCCTTCCCCCAGCCCCACCTCCCCGCCACACAGCACGCTGGTGTCCTCCCAGGGCACTCCAGGTCCTCCTACCCATCCTTAAAGCTGGGGCCGAGCCCTGACTCCTGGGTGGCTCCAGCACCTGACTCTGGGTGACAGTGATCACCTCCTGTGCTCATTCTACGCCTTTAGATCGTGCTTCTGTTGGTAGGCTTCTAAGGTGTTTTCCTCTCCAGAATCAGATCGAAACTTGTGTGGTTTCCTACAATTCTTTGGCAGCCGCCCCAGATCCCAGCACTGTGTGTTTACGCATGCATTCACTCGCCCCTTCATCAACTGGATGCGTTCCGTGCCTTGTTAAAAAGATCAGGGCTACAGCGCCCCTCCTGTGCTCACAGAGGTTACGTCTGACGGAACACGGAAATTAAGTAATCTCAAGAGCATTACAAAACATTCCCCGGTAGGGGCTCAGAGCATTGGTTCCGAAAGCATTCGTTTGATAGAACCGAGCCGTCCACAGGGACCTGTACCTTTAAAGAAATAACGTTCGTCCCTTCTCCAGGTCCAGACGTGGACGACAGCGTCTATGTTCTGGGCTGGGACGCCCTGCCAGCCTGCGACGATGCGGATGGGGTCCCCGTAGCGTGTCCGGTTGTTCCGGTTCTCGTAGAGCCAGTACCAGCTGTTGCGGAAAAAGTACGTGCTAAACCTCAGCAGCGCCGCCCCGCGGTGGTCTTCCTCTCTGCGGATCCAGTCAAACGCAGTGTCAAATGAGCCTTCGCATGAGCCTTAAAAAACAAGCAAACAAACAGCCCAGCCCCTCGTCACCGGCTGCAAAGCCGACAGTTCCTACCTTCACGTATGACTTGTCTAGAGACAACTACAAAGCTGGACGTTGCTATGAAAACACCTTAAAGCAAGACCTCACGAGACTGGAAGTAGCTTTCCCTGGCTGAGTGGACAGAGGGACCCCGCTGGCCTGCAGCAGTGCTGGGCACATGGGTTGTTCTGGCTTCATCATTAAAGCGCTCCCGGTCACTCTCTAAAGTGTCCCAGTTTGGATGCGAGTTACACGATCACCCTAAGCACAGCTGATGCCTCTTCTGGTGGCTGACCTGACTTCCCCCGAGGGAGGAAGTTTGGTCCTGGGCACACACAGGAGTAGATTTCCGCGGACGGACGTAAACGTGTCCTAGCATTTGTCACTCTCCAAAGATGCTGCGGTGCAAGAACGGGACGGTTTGAGTAGAACAGAAATGGGGACGGTCCCTGTTTTCGATGGAAAAGTGGAGGGCGGGTTCTCTTTCCTGCAGCCTCAGTGCCAAATCCGATCACTCCATTAAGTAATGAATTGCCGGCGCTTTGGCCTGAACAATTAAATAGACATTAAAGCTCATCTGGCTGTGCTGTTCTTTGCCTTCAGATTGCAGACGACTTCTTCAGCGGCTTCCGGCTCCTGGAGCTCTCAGGAGATGCCACTCCTGTGTCTGGAAAACCACGTGCCCCCTCCTTCCTCCCAGGGAACATAATGCATTGTGTGAGAGAGAGGACACGGGAGGAAGCACCCATGGGACTGCTCTGCTCCCCACGGCGGCCACAGTCCGGCATGGCCGCCTTCGACTAGGGACTGGCACCCCAGCGCCTGGAGGCAGCTGCCCTGTTTGGTGCCCTTTGGGGGCCAGCCTTGCAGGGAGGAGGTTTGGGGTCCTCCGTCAGCTCTGAGCATGGCCTCTCCCAGGCAGTCTTACCATACAGCTTTTGAACTGCCTTCCTGTCTGACCAGTCCAACTCAAACGCAGGCCCCTGGGGCAGATAATTTGGCTGCATTACGGATCCTGTCCTGTAGGTGTGAGGCAAGCCGAGGACATGGCCAATTTCATGGACGGCCACCTGGAAAGGAACACAGACCATTGGTGCAGTGCTGACCCAGGGTGTCTGAGGGCCACTGGGAGCCGTCCCACCACGGAGGCCGGCTGTGCCTGGGGAGGGGCCATGCTTGGTAAGAAGGGACGATGCTGAGACCTGGGGAGCTTCCTCGGAAGGGAGTGGGCGCTCCCCTGGAGCCCGGCCAAGGCGGCAGTGCCCTTTGCGTGGTCTACGAGCAGCGCGAGGGCACTTACTTTGAGAAGGCTGATGCCCCTGTCGCTGGTGGGAGGTGTGAAGTGTTCATCATCGTCAAAGTGAATATCGCCCAGGCGCCAGGCATGTGCAAACTCCTGTCCACTCCCATCAAAAACCCGGGGACAGCCCAGGTGCCGGCCTGGCGAGGGAGAGGGAGGTGGTCCAGGTGAGCAGGGGTGCCCACTGCATAGACTGCCCAGCTCCCCGGACCGGGGAACGCAGACACTGCAGGGTTCCCAGCCTCGAGGGACCAGCAGTCTGGGAGCAGAAGTGGCACCTCCTGGACTAACTCTTCCACGTGAGGCTTGCATGACACACGGTGGATCATGAGCAATGTGTTAACAAAATCTAAGGGCATAAACGGCTGTGGGCCACATGCTACAGGAGCCGAGAGGAGAGAGGCTGTCCCACTGCCAGCGAGCCGGGTGTATTCTGGGACATGGAGCGCTGTCGAAAAGCTGTTGGGGGAGACGAGTCATGCCCTGGACCCTGACAGCTGGTGCTCATGGAATACAGGGGGTGCTGCCACGTGGCAAGGCCCGTCCCTTACATTAGCATAGTTTTTCAACAAACTGTGCCCTGGTACTTCTCAGATTAGGAACTAATCCAGTGGGACCAGCGGGCGGCTGTCAGCACCCCTCCTTCCTAGATGGAGCTGCAAAGAAGTGACTTTGTGCAAACCCACCTTGCTAGGAGGCAGTGGGGCCTGGACGAGGACGGCTGGTCTACCTCGTGACCTGGGGCACACCGAGCCCTCTGTGAGCAGTGCTCATCGGGCTGACCTGCTCTGATGTCCCCAAGAGATCACTCTGGGCTCTTTGTAGGGTGACACGCCAGTCACTTAACCAGTCACTTACAATAAAGCAACATCTGGAGGGCTTACGATATGCCCACGGCCTGACAGGTGACATCTCGGGACAGCCTTGGGAGCACGGTTGGTGCTGCGGCTCTGCGGGTGCCCGCAGCTGGCAGGAGGCCAGGGAGGAGTTGCCCAGGTGGGCCTGTTTGCCTGAAGTCCCCATTATGCTAACGCGGCCCTACTTCAGGCTCTGGGGGAAGGCAGAGAGGGGACACGGCCTGTGCAGTCTTCGCCCTTCTTACCTCGTCCAAAACCCAGCTTTATGTCAATCGTGGCTGCAGGGCCAGTGAGGTCCTCACGAAAGTCCAGTGGCATCACCTCGCTCCACATCCTGAAGGCCAGGCGGAAGATGTACCTCTGCTCCTCCACGGAGAGCTGGCTGCTGTAGCCCTCCGCCACCAGCCTCCAGGTCAGGGTCTTTTTGGCGAAGGCCCAGGTGCCCCCACCCTGAGGGGAGCCCTTGGGCTGCAGGTCCGGTCCTGGGCGCAGAGTCTGCAGGAAGCGCTTCGGGCGGGCCCTGGGGCGCTGGCCCAGCGGGGTGGGCCGGGTCTGGGGTGCAGTGCTGGTGGCCTGCAGCTGGGGCTCAGTGTCCGGGACGCCGCAGCGAGGCCGGTTCATGGCCGCCAGCGTGGCCGCGTCCAGCTCCCCGCTCGCTGGCAGCGCGTTGACCTTCTGGAACTTGCGCAGAGTCTTGGCCAGAGCAGCGCCCGCGGGGCGCTCAGGGGGGGGGGCGTTGTGGGGACCCCTGGCCCCCAAACCCGCGGGCGCCTCGGCCCAGCCGTATTTGGACAGGAACCGCTGCAGGAGAGAGAGGCACGGGGACCGACGGTGGGTCACCTGCCCGGCCCCTGCCCGTTTCCGCCGCCCGGGACGGCGCCTTTGCGTCCCGTCACCCAGTGTCCGCTGAGTGTCCGCCTGCGCCCTGCGGTGTTTCTACCTCGTGCTCACCGGTGGCCTGTGCGAGGTCCCGCGCCTGGGGTGGGTGCGCGCACGTGTGCGTGCGTGCACGGGTGTGCGTGCG